TAAGTCTCACTTGTTAAATATTATGTAAACTTTTGTTTAAATAAAAATAATTACCCTTTTGGGTATATCTGCTATTCACTTTTCTATATTGCAGATAATTTTGTTTAATTAAATATTTTCATCCCTATTGTAAATGATGGCATCTTATACTTGCGACTATTTTCATAACTCTGGCAAGATTTGTGATAAAGTCTGCACTCGATTTAAAGGATGTCGGCAATATTAGAATACTAGAAAGCGCTATCCTTGTATTGATTGTGGCAAACCTGCTGCTACAGTTTGTGAACGGTGTGCTGAACATATTAGAAGATATTATGTGATGCAATATTATGATAAAAGGTGTAACTTAGAGGTGTGATTTAGAGGTAAGACTTAGAATATGGTATGCATTTTAGGCTTGTATAGTCAGGTCTAACTCAAATTACATCACTTTGTTCCTTGATTTTTGTTGGCTTCTCTAGAGGCAAGCAGAATAGCATAAGAGTTATTATTCATATTGGGTTTGCAATGTCAGATCCAGCTCAAATTGCGTCACTTTGTTCCTTGATTTTTGATAATCCCTCCTAAGGCAAACAGAATAGTAAAAATTTTTTGATATATTATTTAGGATTAAAATCATACTAGAATGGCTATATCAATCAGTATAATTCTTGATATCTGAAGGTTAATTCCAAGCCAAATTCGATATCATCATCTAGAATTGAGTCAAAATACGCTAGAGGTTTGAATTTGATAATAGATTTGTATAGCTAGAATTGATTCAAAAGTGATTTGGTGATTTGTTTCAGAACCTCCTTTTTGCTCTATATAATTTCTAATAATATGTATTGCAATAAAAAGTAAATTTGGATTATTTAAAATAAATAAAAGTTTAGCATTTGTAATATTATTATTAAAGTTGGAATCATAGAAGATATTCTAATTTTGTTAGGTTTACACTCATTTGGAAGATGTATTTAATTGAATAAATAGACATAATGCAAAAACTAATTTTTGTAGTTCTTTTTAGATATTAGCAAATGAGTATTCTACATTATTAATTCAGGACATATCAGTATTTTGTTTAGGAGTTTAAAAATCAGATTATTTATGAAGTAAGAATAAATCTTTTTATTAGTTTAAACTATCTTTATTCATTAATAAGTTAATGGTATTTAAATCATTATCTAATAAAAAACTAAAATCATTATAATTGAAATTAGAGTCATTAGAGTCAGTATCATTAAAAGTATTGATGTTATTATCAATATGATTGATATTTTCTAAAAGAGAAAAACAAAAATTAATATTAGCTTAGTTGTTATCCATTTGAAATATTTTATTTTTTATATTGGTGATCTTGTTTATTATTACCGACTAAAAATTCATTATTGAAAAGCTGATCTACAAAGAATTATCAAGCAATCTACAGAAGTTACTGGAATTAATATTTTATATTAATCATGAAATTAGAAAATCAGCATAATTTCTGATTTATCTGATTATTAGGATCCATAGGATTTTTAGAATTCTTAGGATTTATTGGATCTACCTGATAAGCCTAATAAGTCTGATTACTATTATCACGCTTATTTCTATTATTTTAATAATTATCATTATATTATTATATTATTATATTTGTTATATTTGTTATATAAATGATCTTTATTATTCTTATTATATTCATTATTTTTATTTAAAACTAGTTAGTCTGTATCATTAAAAATAATAGCACAGAATTATTATAAATAAGATAATTCTTTATTGATATAAAAATTAAGGTTGTAACAGTCCTAAAATATTAATAGTTCTAATATTAATAATGAACTAAAATTTAATAAAGAAATTAATATTAAACATAAACTTCTTCTTTTTTCGTATCCTCCATCTAGGATTTAATGTAATATCTTATACTACGCTATACATTTCAGTTCATCATAATTTTCCTATTATTTTATAAAGAAATTATAAATAAAATAGAAATGTACATTGCCAGTTTAAGAATTCAAGCTTTCTAAGATACCTATAGGATGTGGATTCCTTAAAATTGAAAACTCTGCAGGATTTATCTGTCTTATATTATGAGTAACATCAATCAAGTCTTTAATAAAAAAACAGAAAATTTAGATTTGATTAACAAGAATAAAAGTAAATTGTTATCATGTGAAGGATGAAAGTGAAATTTTCACACTGATACCGTGATTAAAATTAATTTGACATTATAAATTTGAAGATATTATTATTATTATAATAGTCATCATTTTTTGAATTAAATATGTATATTTTAAAGGAAATATTTTTAAAGAAATATACAAAAAATTGTTACTAAAACTAACATATATGCTAGAATTTTTATTATTTGATTTTTAGATTCAGTTTCTATAATATATAAAGCTATTGTGCTAATAATTTCAAATTATTTGTTGAATTATTAATATATTAAATATTTTCTATTACTGTAACAGTTTGCTTTTCAGATTCAATCTGATAATATAAATATCTACTTTTAGATTCAGAATATTTATAACAAATATATTATGTAATACTAATTTTAACAAAGTTTTATTTAGCAATTTCTTAATATTTATTCAAAAGATTACAAATAAAAAGTTTATTACAAGGTTTTTAAATATTCTTCCTAAAAATATTTTCTGAATGTTTTTTTATATCCAATTTTATAATTAAAGAAATAAAAGTTTTTATAGCAAAACAAATAATAGTATTATTTAATTTTACTTTACTGATTATTTTGCATTTATTTTGCTTTAAAATTATGATTTTTTAATTATAGTTAAAATGCTACATATACATCTCTAATGTTAATCGATCTGCTTCAAATTCTATTATTACATTTATATCAATTTGCTAAATATTAACTAATTGACAAATATTTTTAATATTTTTTATTCTACCACAAGTTTGTAATTAATATTTACTAAATCTATAAAGATATATAACTATAATAAAGTTGTTGACTTTAGTTTACAAATTGGTTTACTTTATTTTTTGATAAGTATTAGAGATAGAGTTTTTGTTGGTATTGATAGAGATAGAATTCCTGTTAATATTAATAAAAATAAATTATCAGCTGACAAAAGTAGTAATAATAGTGATAATAGTGATAGTAAAGGTAGAATTTCAGTATTTTTAATATCATCATGATAATCATTTTTATTATTAACTATAATTTTTTTGTTCAAGCTTTGCTAGTACTTTAATATATCTTTTTAGTTAAATTTATTAAATGCTTGTTTATCAAAAAATTTATAATTGTATTAAAAAGCCTTCACTTTTTTTAGAATTATTAAATTCTATTTTATTTAATTATTAGATGTTACTTTTTGCAAAATTTAAGTTAAAAGAGAAGTTAACAACCTCTATTAACCAAATTTATTTAGATTTTGCTAATATTAGTTTAAGAGATTCTTATAAAAGAAAGCAATTATAAAAAAAATTAAAACTGAAAATAATAGTAATAATCTTTAAATATAAGGAGCTTGCCTAAGATTACTTATCTAAACTTATTTTTGATTTGGCTAAATGTTTAAACCTTTAGTTTCACTAAATTTTTATTAAATTTATAATTCTTAAATTTTAATATATTATTTTACTTAAAATTTAATTAATTATTATTATTAGATATAAGTTAAATAACTTAAATACTTTAATAGTTAATAATTATAATTATTTAATTTATTAATAAAATAAAAGTTGATCGAATATAAATTTTACTTAATGATTGAATAACTATTTTAAATGATAGACTTTCTTATCTATAATATCTTATAGTTAGTTACATCTGATCAACATAGAATTTATTATTGTAATACAAAAAGCGCATATGATCAAAAGTCCCTAATATTTTCCCATACAAAAAGTTGTACTTGGGAAAATTTTAAAATATCTAAAATAGATAACAAGGTTGTGCTTGGGTAAAAATTTCAATAAAGTTCTACATAGATGATCAATAAAGTAAAAATCCAATTTATCCAAAAATAAATAAAATGTTTCAAATGTATCAATTCGAAAAACCTATAAAAGGAAGCCTCATAAAATCGAAGTAAGAATACAGGAGACAGAAAAACATCTTTTGCATCTTTGAAATCCCTTCATAGTAATCCAACAAACTCTTTAAACATCACCTTTATTAAATTTTCTCAATTTCTTAAAGAAAAATATAAATCATAAATATAAAATATGGCAACTGCTTTCTTTAGACAAAATCCGACTGTAAGTACTCGAGTTATTTCATTTTACCAAAAATATGAAAGTAATAATAAAACAACTTTTTTATTTTATAGCTTATCCCTATAATACTAGCTGCCGCAGGTGGTGTTACCGCTGGTCTTACGTAAGTTAATAATAATCATTGAAAATTTTCAAGTGATCAAAAATTCAAAACCTCCTTTCATCATTTTGAATAGATATGCTGGATACACTTTAGCAAAAAGTCCTGAAGTAGTTATTAGTAGATTCGGTCCACAACAACCTTGGAATAATATTAAACAACATGAAAATCCGAAGGTATTTTTTATTTTTATTTTTTAATAATTGCTATACTTGAATTCTTTCGAGTACAAAATTTTAAAATTTTTGTATCTTTTTTTGCCGGAACTATTTTGTTAATTTTTGTAAATAGTTGATCACGATTAACAAACAGTTCTTTGAAAGTCGTAAAGGAATAGAAACACCTTCGAAAACTTTTTGATAGCAATATTTAATTGATTTGTCAATTTCAAATAACTTTTTAATGAGATGTAATGTTTTAATGATGTAATGTTTTGGTTATGTTAATTTTAAATAAATAAGTCTGCTGTCTTCTTTTTTGTTCTTGGTAAATTTCATTTTAATGGATGTAATTTCTAAATATTATAAATTAATAAAATAAACGTCGTACCCGTACGACACAATGACACAACAAATTAGATGTTAATCATGTGAATATCATAATTAAAAAAATTTATAAAAAAAAAAAGCCAGTCAAATATTTTTCCGTTTAGAAATTTTTGACGAAAAAAATAATGTCTACAACAAAATATACAAAAACACAAGATGAAACATTACCTGAGGACGATTCGGTGTCCTCCTCATCCGAAACATCCGAAACAAAATCCTTGGAAGATAAAACATCCATCCAACAAGATAATGAAGGAATTTCACAAGAAACATTAAAAAATCCTCCAGAAAGTGATAGTGAAGAGGCACAGTCTGATGCATTTGACCCGGAAACCGGGGAAATTAATTGGGATTGTCCTTGTCTTGGAGGAATGGCTAAAGGAACTTGTGGCGAACAATTTAAAGCAGCATTCTCATGCTTTATTTACTCTAAAGCTGAGCCAAAGGGGATTGATTGTCTAGAACAGTTCCAGAATATGAAAGATTGTTTTAAACAACATCCTGAAGAGTATGGTGAAGGTTCGTACAAAATTTTTTTAATAGATTTGAATGTTTCTTAACAATTAATAATTATTTTATTTTAATTTTATTTAGAACTAGATGATGACGATGATGATGAGGAGGAGGAAGAAGAGAAACAATCAGATATGGTGAATGACTCAACAACTACAATAGTTTCAACTGACATATCGTCTAGTTCAAATGATTCAAATATTTCAAATGACAATCAAAAATCAGAAAATTAATAAATAGTTCATCCTGGTTAACTAAGTGGAAGATCATTCATTAAAATTAATCTTAATTAATTTATTTATTTAAAGTTTGAATATTTGACATAATAATTATATTAAAAAACAATATATATATTCATTAAATATAATTATTCGAATTTCCATTCGTTTTTGAAATAGCATCAACGTCAAATTTACCATTTGGTTTTCTTTGAATATAAGGTAAAGATTTGCTGTTGCTTGAACTTTCATTTGGAATTTCAAAATCCTTTGATGTTCCTATAACTTTGTCATTATCATCATCGTTGATTCCATTTGTAACTTGATCATCGTTATTTTTATCAATTTTTTCAATCGTTTCAACCAACCTAGCTGCCCTAACCCATTTTCTTCTTCGAGTATATCTTCTAAAACCGCTCTTTGAAGAAAAACCTTTCCATCTGTTATCAGCATATTCCCAACCATCTTTATCAACATCCCCATCATAATCAATCCACCAATCATCATCATCCCATTTCCATTCCATCGTTTTCTTAATAATAACGTTTGGTTCTTCAAGTATTTCTGTCGATGGAGGTGGTAATTGAAATGAATTGTTAGGGCTTGTTGGTTCATTATATTCATCTGACCAAGCAGGTCTTTCATTAAGGAATAAATTTGTGGTCCAATCTAAACCTAACCACCAACGTTGATTCTCATATAAAACAAATCTAAATATCAAATCTGTGGAAGTTCTATTTTCTTCAACTTTTTTACCCACAAGTTTCGATTGTTGTTCCTTTGCTTTACGAATCAAAGCTCCGACGGAGAATCCTCTTTCCCCCTGTTTTAATATATTCCCTCCCCAGACGTAACCAAATAATAAACTAATAATACCACGGAATAAATCAGATTGCATAAGAACGTATCGAATAAATTTAAACCATGGACTATGCCATACCAATCCAAATGTTCCAATAATGATGAATACCCATGTTAATGAAACGGAGTATGCAAAGATTATCCAAACTGGATATGAATAGATTAATCCTCTCACAACCTTTTGAGTTTTTGTAGAATCCGTCCAATCAATATGTGAACGAATTGAATTGATAAAAGCGTGAAATGATGAAAGTTTATCGGAGATCTTGTGTATCTCTAAAACTGTTTTATTCAAATCAAGTTGTGAGGTGGATTTTGAAGCTGAACTTGGTTTACCAAGTCTTTCACTTTTAACCTTTTCAACCCACTTCAAACCTATCCATGTTAATATAAATAAATGTGTTCCATATATTATAATTTCTGTTGGATATTGACAAACCGTCCACCAAGCAGCTACTAATAAACAAGATTCAGAAGGATTTCCAGTAGACCAGGTCATAAGCGATAAAAGATACGAAAACAAGTGTATGAATGGTGAAGAGTATGTTAAAACACGAGTTATGCTCGGTGGTGTGGAAGATAAAAAATCAACAGGTGGAGGTGATAAGAGTTGTGAAGTAGATCCTGTTATAATTGTGTTAATAGAAGGGGAAGAGTGACCATTCTGAGGCGCCATATTTTTTGATTTTGACATTGCATTAGTATCTGACACGTTCAAATCTAATGGTGGAATATTTGTTAGAAAAAATGATTGTTGTTCAAAGGGAGATTGCATTCTTTTATTTGATCTAATGCGGGAAAATTCTTGGACGATCTTATAAATATCATGTGTATCATATGTTAAGTTTTTTTACGCCACCTTTTCAAGTCCCGTAATTACATCATCAACAAAAGTTACTCTAGAAAATGTCGGACATTTCGTCAATTCTTCAAGGAGGATATAATCATCCTCTATCACGACAATGGCATTCTGAACGTACTTTACGTAAATCTTCATTGATGTATCCCATTTTTATCACAGATGAATCAAATGCCGAAGAAGAAATTTCTTCTTTACCTGGTCAAAAAAGGTATTTATTCGTAGGAATTTTTTGAATTCTATTGAAATTGATGAGGATTTTTTTCTTAGGTGGGGAATTGATAAACTAGAAGGATTTCTTAAACCTCTCGTTGAAAAAGGGTTATCTTCGGTTCTCATATTTGGTGTTCCAACTTGTGAGAAAGATCCATATGGATCAAAAGCGGATGATCCAAATGGTCCTGTAATTCTATCTATTAAACTTATTCGTTCTAAGTTTCCACAATTATTCATTGCATGTGATGTTTGTCTTTGTGAATATACTTCACATGGTCACTGTGGTAAATATTTATCTCCATTACTACGCCACTATTGTTTTGTATTCTAATTCTTTCTCACTTCAATAGGATATTTAAATGAGGATAATACCATCAATAACGAAGCCAGTGTGAAACGTTTAGCAGAAGTAGCGACGAACTATGCCAAAGCTGGTCGGTTCCTTTGATTTTTGATTCGGAATACATGAAATTTACACGTGTAAAAATAACAATAAATGATGAAATTATGTAGGAGCACATTGTGTGGCACCGTCTGATATGATGGATGGTCGAATTAAAGCGATTAAAGAATCTTTAATTCGGGAAGGTCTTGCTAATAAAATCAATTTAATGAGTTATAGCGCGAAATTTGCTAGCAGTTTTTATGGTCCATTCAGGTGAATTTCAAAAGAAATTTGTTACATTTAGAAAGATCATATTTTATTGAATATATTTTTTTTAGGGATATTGCAAATTCGGCTCCTTCCTTTGGCGATCGCAAATGTTATCAGCTTCCACCAAACGCGCGTGGTTTAGCACGTCGTGCCATCGTACGTAAACTTTCTTCATTAATTGTACGATCAATTATTAATCACGTTCAAATTTAGACACGTGATCTTTCGGAAGGCGCAGACATCATCATGGTTAAACCTGGAATGCCTTATTTAGACATCTTGCGTGAAGCCAAAAATCTTAGTCCTGACGTTCCAATAGCTGTTTATCAAGTTTCTGGTGAATTCGCAATGATATGGAGAGCTGCTGAAGCAAAAGTGTTCGATCTTCGTGTTGCCGTGTTAGAGAGCATGGAAGGGTTCCTGAGAGCAGGTATGAAATTTTTTTTTTTATTGTATGTTTTCTTAACATTTTATTAATCTCTCTCTATTTTTAGGAGCAAACATAATCTTGACCTATTATACACCACAACTTCTTGACTGGTTAGAATCTTAAATATCCGAAATGTAAATTTAAAATACACAAAAATAAAGTAAAACTAAATAAGTCATGATTTCATATTGGTGGAATTTCCAAAAAGCATTCGGCCCTGATGATCAATCAATGAGAATCAGTCTTCCAATTGATTTAAATCTTTCTCTTCCCTTGCTTCATTTTCCAAATCTTCAATTTCCAACAAATAATCAATATCTCCAACACGCCAATTCCAATTTACTGGTGGTTCTTCAATAAGATCAGAAGATACTTTGTAATATATTCGATCGCTAGGTTCAAAATGAGGGCTTTCAAACCGGAACAATACTGGCCTTCTTGAACGATCATCTATCAATATCTCATCTTTTGCGGATTTTAATGTGTATGTCACCTCAGCATCTATTTCCACGTCCACTTTAAAATTAATCCCATCACTAAAACTTTTAGCAACTTTTGCCCTTGATTCATTAATGTTATCATCTTGAGCCTTACGAATAGCCAATGTCAATGTCATCCAATTTAATATACGATATTCCCGATTTTTTTCAGAATATGCTTTTCTAGGCCCAAGCGTAACCCAAATATCACGAATATTTATTCCATAAATTTTGGGTATATCAATTGTTACTTTAGATTTCTCTGATTCTAATTTATCGACTTCATTGATAATTCTATCATAAAACCTTGTAGTCAACATCAATCGCAAGTCGTCACGTTCCACTGGAGTGGACAGAGACTCACATACTTGACGTGCAGCTAACGAGACTAGAATTACCCCCCCAAAAAAATTGATAAATTTTTTTTTACATTATTATTTTTTTGAAAAAAAAAGAAGAAAAAAAAAAGGCACACCTCCTTGCAGAAATTGCTCTGGAAAATATACAGCAGATACCGCTCCCGTTAAAATTCTCGCCGTCAACCACTTGCATAATTGATGTTGAATAAATATTGGCAATAACGATAATATAGAAGACCAAAAGTTTGCGGTCGGATATGGATATTGTTTTATTCGTGGAGGTTGATTACCATGGAGCCAAGCTGTTATATACATACACCATTATATCCTAAATAGATCTTGTGAATTTAACGCATGACATAAAGGTAAAAAGCTACACACGAAAAATTATCGAGGAACCGGTTTTCTTAGGAGGTGGCAAAGTGTCAACTGGTGAATTGAAACCAGGTGGTGGCGTGGGTAGAGGGTCTTCTGGTGGAGAAGGAGGAGGATGTGTTGAAGACAATGAGGAACGTAACGTAAACCCTGGAGTAAATTTTGAAAGTTGAGGTCTTTTTGAACGGGCTAGCGAAGAAGCAATACCTAAACGTTTAAGATTAAACGGAGAAAAGGTGTTCAATAAATATATCGCTTGGTTACTTTTTCGCATGTTCAGAGGAGAAAAAAGATTAACAGATTATCCGAGGTTGATACGATAATAGATATACATATATGGACAACAATTGGTCAAACTTCATTTCAAAAAAATTATGGTGGTGTGTTAATATATTTATACTTTTTTTAAAAAAATAATTTTACAGATAGATATTTATTTATTATTTTATCGCGTAGAAACTCGCACTTCTTTTTAAGGCAGAACTTGAAAACGTAACCGACGTTGGTCCAGGTGACGACGATTATGAATGGCATTTTAAGGTTTTTATACCTTTCTCTTTTAATGCATTTTCTTTCTTATATGTATACATTACTATATTAACCTTTTCGCGTAATGTTTGATAGGTAAAATGTACGAGTTGTAACGAAGTCAATAACAACTGGGTTGGAGTAAACCGACTTGTAAGTTTTTCGTTTATTACGTTCCAAAGTATTTACAATATTCTTTTTCCTTTACAGTTCTGGTTATATATTTTATGTAGGATCAAAATGAGATACCAGGGTCAAGAGGAAAAGCGAATCTCGTAATGCGTTGTAAATTCTGCAAACGCGAAAGTTCGGCTCGTATGTTATTTCTCGTATTATTTTATTATAATAATTAATAAATTCATTTTTTTTTCCAATAATTCCAATAGAATTTGACCCGTCTCCGGTTAAACCTTATACAATTGAGAGTAGTGGAAATTTTGCTCAAATGATAACTATTGAATGCAGAGGATTGGAATTAATTGATTTTGAACCAAGAGCGAGTATCCAAAAGAAAATTTGTTGGTTTTTGTTAAAAATCAGTCACGTGTTTTTTACACGCGTTTTTTAAATTTTTAGACTGGTTTTAAGGCTGTTGGTGCTAATTCAGGAACCAAATTCGAAGATATTGATCTTACAGATGGAGATTGGGCTGAATATGATGAAAAGGTTCCTTCTTTTTTAATTAAATACATCTCGCTTTTATAATTTTCATTGAATCCTAATCGAATACTTAAAATTCAAAGGGTGGAATTCCCGTTGGAATATCGGAAGTACAGGCAAAATTTAAACGCGATTAAATCGTCTACATATTTTATTTTCATAATTAAATTAATATTATTTCAGATATTTATTAAATTGAAAATAAAAACGCCTATAAAGATGTACAAGTAAATACTTTCAACCTTGAATTTCGCTTCAATTTAGCAATTTTTGTAAATTATTTAAACAAACTGAGATCAGATAGTGTGAATACATGTAAACTTCATTAATTTCAGTATTATTTGCTTTTTCATCATATCTCATGTTTAAATAAAAAATAAAAAATTACCAAATATTCAAAAATTCACCGTGAAGTAATAACAATCTTTGCAAAACTCTCAAATAAAAGCAATACACATGACAATAATAAATTTTTTTTTTTTCAATGCAAATATGAATATATTATTTCAACAAAAAATTTCCATTTTGATTTTTTAATTCTCTTCTGAAAAAAACAAACTCTAATACATATAAATATTTTAAGCAACCAAGGCGCTTGCGGTTGAGGATTCGCTGTAAAACGAGTGAAAAATGAGTTAAGGTGAACGATTATCGAGATGAGACTGTTTCTGGAAAAAGCAAAAGAAAAATATTCCTTGTTTTTATCAAAAATCAACAAGATCCCAATACATCTTGATAAACGTCCAATAATAATATAATTACAAACAAAGAGGAAAAAAAAATGTTTTTTTGATCGTAAAAGGATACTATTTCCAGTTTGGAGCTAATTGACCAGCTGTCTTATAATATCTGGAAAGACGATGAATTCTAGATTCAATCAAAATTAATCTGAATTTGGAATCTTTATCTTTACGATTACGTTCCAAATGTTTTCGAACAGCAACAGCTTTCTTAATTAAATGATATAAATCTTCAGGAATTTCAGGCGCCAAACCTCAAATAACAAAGAAACAAGAATTAATTGGATGGATGGGAAAATCTATTTTATTATTTTTACCATATATTGCGATTTTTCTAAAGGTATTATCTTACCATTTGACTTCAAGATACGGAGAATTTTATTCCCGGTTACGTTCTTTACTTGTGCGATACCATGAGAATCTCTAAGTATCACACCAATTTGTGAAGGTGTCATGCCTTTTTTTGCAAATTTGAAAATTTGTTCGCACACATCTTCAGGTGTAGTTTTTAACCAAGACGGTGGAGTACGTCGGTATGGGAGAGCAGAGCTCGAAATACCTTTACCAGGAGCGTGCATACGACCCATCTTAGATAATTTTTTTAATAATCTTACAAAGAAAAAAAAGACGTAAAGCGTAAAAGAGGATTGATTAAAAAAAAATCAAATCAAAATTTATTTTTTTAAAAAAAAAACGTGACATCATATTTGCAGATCATTAATGCATATATAATTCAAATTTTATCCTAATGAACGGGCTTTTATCTACCCGTTCAAAAATGGAAAAACTACAAAATATCATGAAATCCTTGCCAGAAATGTCTAAAAACATCATAGACGACACGATACATGAAAAAATATTATCGTATCTATCAAATTACGCGTCACAGGGCCCAGAAACTGTAGTTAAATTTATTGAATGGAACGTACTGGACATAATACGTGTGTGTAATGTTAAATTTTTTGATAAATATATAATTATGTTTTTGATGAATAATACATTTATTACAAATTCGATTTAGGCTTGCGTCACGCAAGTTGATCATAATAATGAGAAGGATGTAACGCATGAATTTGTACAAGATCACAGGATCATGGCTTTGTCAATTCGCTTTCTTGCGCGTCTTTTGGCCAATGATGATAGGAAGAATGCTCTGTTGGTTTCTCAACTTTTTACCAATTATATCGATTTAATTGATTTTATTCTGGATCATGCATTCGATGAAGAAGCTTTGATGCGTTTTGCATGCATCGAATCATTAGAACAATTAGTAACTTATAACCCCGGCGCTAGATGGTATTGTTCATAAGAGTTTTTGTTCTTCCTTTTTTAATAAATTTTTTTTTTGATGAATCTAATGCGAAATTAATTAAAGGTTTCTCGAATCAAATAAAAGCGATCAAGTCGTTGTAAAATGCTTTGATGATTCTAGTACTTATGTATGTTAATTTCTCTAAATAAATTTTTTAAACATAAGAAATAACTTTAACGATTTGTGACCTAATGATTGAAGGTGACAGCAGCAGCATCTAAGCTTCTTTTATCAATAATCAACAATTGTTCTTTACTCACTTCAACAAAGAAACGGAAAGATCCTGAAGCACAGGATGCACTTATGAACTTTTTAATAACTTCACTTGATCTGTTCAATAAAATAAACCAACTTTTATTCGATTCATCTGTTGATATGAATCAGCGTTTAGCAGCTTTACAATTTATTTGGACATTAGCAGATTCACGGACAAATAATGCTATTGAATTTTTTAAAAAAGGACATCTGGTAATTCATTTGTTTTGTTTTTTTTTAATAAAAATAAAAAAAATAAATAAAAGTCTGATCTTTACTTTATATTAAAACATATTAATGATAATGATATTACAATTTATTTTAGTTGAGAAAATTGGATGTTTTGTTAACTGATCCAGATAGAAATATAAGAGCAAGAGCAAACGACATTTTGTTCACTTTGCTTGATTGGGTTCCTGATCCAATTTCTTTATTTAAACAATCTTTCAATGCAAAAGACTCGATCACTGAAAGTATGAAACTTTTTCATTTGTAATCCTCATAAATTTTTATTTATGACTTAACATTCATTTATATTGTCACATGCAGCTTTGAATTATATCATAAATGATATCGTGTTTCCGTTGTGGAATACTGATTCTAATTTCGAGATGGTCATCATGGCGGTGAATGTACTTGAATCCTCAATAAAACTAGTTGAACGCGTTTCCGCGGGAAAAATGATATTGGCATCAGTATTTATGGATTTGTTAATATTCTTACTTAGTTTCGCAACAAATAAACCAAGTACAATAACAAAGTTCAACTATCCTCGACATAATTATGTTTATTTTGAAGTCTTATATGAAAATGTGACATTTGAAAAGGTATTTTGTTCCAATGAATTTAAAATATTATTACATCATAATAAAAATATTTACATGTGCATTCCCTTTTATATAACAACAGTTAAAGATACTCTTCTCGAACACGAAACGAAATTTTGCCAGCCGAAAGTCTCTGATTCTCAACATATTGCATACAATTCACGCTATTTCGCAACAAAATACTGCTGCAGTTGCGGTAATTAAAGATTACATCAAGTTTACTTATAAGACGCCACCTATAATTAATTAACGAAAAATTTACATTTTAGAATACGACATCTATATGCACGATATTAGATATTTTATTTATGCCAGAATATAATGCAGATCAGCGCATCATGAAAGAAGCACTCACCATAATACCCGTTGTTCTTTTCACTAAAATTGAAAATAATAGTATACACGACGTGGAAATCGTGAATAAGGTATCTTTTATATTTAACCGTTTCTTTGTTTCTCCATGCATTTTGTATTTAACATGGATCTCCTCTTTTTTTTGGATAGACATTACAAACAATTCAATTTTTAGCTTTAGATTCAAAAATTGAATGTCGTGGAATGATATTATTACTCGAAACAATGCATAAATTGCTCCGCAACAAAGTCATGGGGGAATATATAATGCTTAGTAAATTTGGAAAAGAATGGGCTGACACTCTTATATTCAGAGCGTGTGATCCTCGTTGGGATATTCGTGATTCAATTCTAGAATTTATAAGTTTATTATTTGATGATGTTCGTTATCTATATCAAAGAAATTTTTTTGTTTCATTCTCATTTTTCAACGTCTAACGTGAAATCATGTTTAATATCTTTAGTCGCCAAATATTGGTCGTGGGGTGGAATTCGCCCTTAATTATGATTTACCAAAGGTCGTGCTCGCTAAAATTGATGATGAACAACCTTATGTTCGTGCTTCATGTCTGAGAGCGATTAAGGTAAACGATTTTTAGAATTAATTTGATATTTTCATTGCATTATGCTTAATTAATTCTTTCAAGCTTATTATAGGCCATTGTTCGATATCCAAAAGGTTGGCTATATATTGTTGCTGAAGAAATGCAAGGGGATGTCTCGTTAAAATTACCTTATATGGTGAGAGATTCTGAAGCTTTTGTGCGAAGAGCTGTGATGGAATTAATGACTTGTCTCATTGTTGAACGAGAATGCGGTACAATTTTGTTGGATGATCGAAATGCGGAGATTATGAGGTCTGTATTTTTCTTTCTTTTTATCATTTATAGAATTCAAATTTTTAAATCCGAAAAATCTTTGTTTTTTATATTAGTCCCGACGTAATGGACAAAATAATGGACGATCCAGATTTTTATGTCCGAATTAACGGGTGTCAGTTTTTGGCATCAGTATGGGATCATTGTGAGCAAGATCGATTGAGTTATGGACAAAAAAGGACGAAACATAATGTATATTTGAGTGGTGGTAGTTTACTGATAGGACAAAACTCCTCTTGGTTTTATTGGCTGGATGGTGATAAATTACTTGTCAATGCTGTATGTATTATCAAAGAATATGAAATTTTTTTTTTTTAAAGTAAAACGGTTTAACATGATTTATTTACTTATATAGGCTGAAGATCCAAGTCGATTAGTTCGTGGTGAAGTACTTGTAATTCTTAAAAGACTTAAATTGTATCTTGAGCAGATAGTTTCGACACAAGAATTGAATTCGTCATGTTCATTACCAAAAATTAGTGACGATTCTCAACTTTCACATAAAAGACTATTCGATCAATCATCATCATTAATGCAAAAACATTTAAATTTTTATCAGAACATTTGTCTTATTGATTATGAACGTCTTGAAGCTACTATTGATGTTGAACATTTGTACGAAGAAGCTCTAGATAGTGTTACCACAAAGATGATGACAGATGCGGATATCATGGAAGATGAAAATGATGATCGTGCTATGGACTGTTATTTTTAAAGGTGGTTAATTACTGTAAGTCATTTTGATTGTATCATCTTATCATCATACTTTATGATTACGTTAGGAATTTATTACCTTTCAACTATTAATTAATGTCCGCTCTTCGTTATGATGAATTTCCTCGTATGATCCTTTTTTTTATAGTTATTGCATGAACTTCTTACTAATAATAATATAGATATATTATTTTAGAAATTCCAATGATGATTAATTATTTTACATAATGTCTTGTTCATAACTGGGTTTTTATATATCAATGTTATTTTTTTTCCTTTTGTTTTTTAAAAAAATAAAAAAAAAATAATAAAATTTTAATGGTATTTGCTAATTTGTTTTTCATAGCTCATTTTGATGCGACAAGCATCACGGAAAGGAAACATTTATGACGCGCAGTTAAGGCATTGTTCAAAATATGGGATGGAGATGGTCTGTCTTCAAACATGTTGAACTTCTATGACTTACAAGACCATCGGTCTTTTTAATTTAGGTTTATATTTGGTTCATACAATTTTAATTTCTTTTTTTAAAAAATAAAGGTTTAAACATTTACGACTCATGAAGCTACTTTAAAATTAATAGCTTCATTAATCATTTTTCCAGTAATAATCCAATTGAGCGCAGTGTATCCTAAAAGAGATTACAGGATGAAAAATAATATGGTTTAAAACAATTGTTGATTTTGATTATATTACAAAAAAATTATGATTTCAATAATTTATTTTATAATTCTATTCTATTACTGTAATTTGCGGGATCACAAATCAAAGTATTTAAGGAAGGAACTGTAGAGCAATATGAGAGGATTTTATACTATAATTAAGTAGTTACATATAATATTAACAGTGTTGATTAATAACTTTTATTATTATTTATCCTTTTTATATATATTATTAAACATATTATATCGATATGATTTATTAGGTTTTCTAAGGAAAATAGGGCTCTAAGAATTTTTTAATAAAATTTTAATTTTTATTAAAAAATTCTCAGAACCCCATTTTCCTAGCAAACCTCTCATAATAAAATAATATCATAAATAATAGCAGCTTAAAAAAAAAACATTATAATATTTTAATAATAAAACAATTAACTTTCAAAAATGTTTTATATAAAGTAAGTAAATATAATATATATAAAGTTAATACTTAAAAGTTTAAACAAATTAATAGTATTAATACATTATATAAATTTAAGAAAAACTTAATTAATTAACTTTAATATTATGAAGAAAATATTATTATTTTATCTTATTATATTAATAAATTACTTATCTATTAAAGTAAAGTAATTAAATATTTTTTTTTAAAAAAAAACAGATTTTTATATACAATTATTATTATGCTATTTAAATATCTGTAAAATAAAAGTATATATATTTATAATAATACTCATTAATTTTGATTATTTAAATTATTAAAACTTATTACAAAAAATAAATTAAAACAATTATATATATATCTTATATTTGTTTTTATTGAATTCATTTATAGAATATATTATTATGTTAGTTAAAAAGTAAATATAATTTAGTTTTGATTTTTTTTTTTAGAATTAGAATTTCAATTAAAATAAAAATAATAATAATACAATAAAAAAGAAATTTTTTTTTAAAGAAAAAAAAAAGAAACTTGATTATAATATTCTTAAAATAACAAAAAAAAAAAATATATATATAATTTCTTTTATAAATTACTTATTTTAAGTTGAAATATTCTAAAACTAAAACTATTTAAAAATTCACTTTTAAAAAAAAATCCAAAGTCATGAATTTGAAATAGCTGAATTTAAAAAAATATAATAAGATAAAGTTTAAAATAGCAGAATTTGAATTTTAGAAAAATATAATCAAAGGGAATTTATAAAATTGAAATAAAATTAAAAAAAAAATTTTATATCCTTTTTTTTATGAAAATGAATTTAATAAACTGATTGATGATTAACATGATCAATATTTACTATATAATAAAAATTCATTTACATTTAATTGATATATAAATAAACTTTATTTGCTTAATAATTTATGCATATGCATTAATATGATAAAACTAATTACAGTCAAAGTTCTTTATAGTGAACTCTTAGTTCTAATCATTTTTGTTTACTATAATGAGATTTTATTAATAGTTCACTATATTGAGAATAATTTATTATAAAAAATTGAATTGGTGAATTAAAAATAATTTACTATAACATGATTTTACTATAATAGGATTCACTATAATAAGCTTTGACTGTATATAGGAATTTTATTTAATATGATCAAAAAAAATTATAAAATTATTACAGCTAATTTCATAATTCTTAGACTATTAATAAATTGCAATTGAATGCAATTGAAAATATTTTATAATAAAATTACTTAATTAGTTATAATAAAAAAAGTTTTTTTAGTAAATAAAATACAATCAATTCTCTATATAGCCACACAATTAAGCACATATTTTTTATGTGTTTATATTAAAATGTAACTGTATAGAGAATCCTTTTATATAATTAACTTCTATTAAAATCACATGTATTATGATTATATAGAGAAATTTAATTTTTATTATAATAAGTTTTATTCAAATATAAAATTTATTTATATTATTAACATTAAATTTCTTTATATATTAGTTGGCATAAAAAAACTTGAGATATTTTTTTGCGTTTTACTTTCACAGAGTTTTTGTTATATAATTTCCATATATTTTCTAAAAATTTCTTATTTTTTTATATCAAACTCTTACTTTTCTGCTTTTCAAAATATTGCAATTATGTCTTAAAACTATTAAAACCTTTTACATTGATATTACTAAATGTTCTGTATCAAATTTATTATTATTCAATTTAACTCTTTTATGTTTTTCATCCAAAATTTATTATATAATTTCAGTATCAGTCATTGATTGTTCTATTAGAATTGTCAAATTAAATATTAATTCATTTCTCCTAAGAACTTATCTAAAATAATTTCAAATTATTATAAAAGAAATTCAATGCCTTCTTGATTTTCTTGACTTTTAACTTCTTGGTTATTATCATTATTAAAGATGGTTTCCATAATTATTTTCAAATTTCAATTAATTGCATCATAAAAAATTTAATTGCGTTACAAGTTGCAACTCAATTATATCATTTTTTAATATAATGCCTATCTTTAATCATCATTAACAGTTGATAAATTTTCTGTTTTTCATCAACAATTAATAACTGATTCTACTTTTACTGAATTTCAAGCTGTATAATGTATTCTAGAGCTTCTTTGACATTAATTTTATTGCTGTTTAATTTTAGAATTTAAAAAATATGTAAATAAAAATAAAATTACAATAAAATAAATATCTTTTCAAATTCACATTTGTTTCAAATTGATGAATAATATGTCTTATGTAATGTTGCTTATAAATTGCCTTAAAGTTTTTTATAATTTCAGCATCTATAGATTGCAAATAAGCTGTTATATTAGGTAAAAGAAAATACACTTTAATATGTATTAATTTAAATTATCATTAGCTTCTTAATTATTATGTTTATTAGGATTAAAATGAGATAATGTATTATCTATAAGTAATAAAACTCTTCAATTTTATGTTCAAAATCCACTATTGATATACTCTAGCTAAAGGTAGGAACTGTAATTAATATGTTGTAATTTTTAATATTGCAACTTACGTTGCAATTAGTTTTAACTTATATATGTTGCAACTAATTTTAGCTTGTTGCAATAATTTGTAAATTTGAAATCAATTGCTACACCATTTTTAACCCTAGCCATTCATCAAAAATATCACTTCACATCTAAATCTTTAAATTAGCATAATAAATATATAGAAGAGAATTTCTGTTAATTCGATAAAGACATTTAGGATTCTTTAAAGAATCAATTATAAGTGGTTTAAGCTTTTATTATTTAATAATACTGTACAAAACCTATTTTAACGTATAACTTAAAAATTGAAAAACTATTTTGAAACCTTTAAAATAATTTTTTTTAAATCTGAAACTTGATGAAACTTAATTAAGTTTAGGAAAACCTATTAGAAGTTAGGTAAATATATTTATTATAAACAAATAGTTTTATCTCAAATATCTTGAAACTCAAATTTTTTAAAAATAGTTTAAAAAGGTATTTTTAATGATCATATTAGAGAAAAAGTTGTTATGTTTCAAATTTTGTTTGAATTTAAGCCAAGATTGAAGTGGGCTATCAGAGAGCTAAAAGTTTTGCTGAATTTATTTTAATCTAATAGCTGTGGTGAGGCTCAATATAAAGTTAACAAAGTTTAAATTAATAATATAGACAAATTTCTGAATTTTAGATTAGGTAACATTAGAATCTAATCATATGCAAGCTTGCTATTTAACGTACAGGTAGAAAATGTTGAATTTAAATTCAATTTTTGTTTATACAATTTTTGAGCTGGTTTAAACAGCACATCATTTTATTATATCATAAAAATAATAAGTTGAAAGTAGTTTTCTAATCTTAAAATAAGAATCATATTATTTAAATAGGTCAGTTATTTGTCAGTCAATGATTTCCTTTTAATTTTTTCACAAAAAGCAAAAATCTTATCACAAATTTGTTATTTGACAAATAATTTGTTATATATTGCAGAAATCCAAATACCTAAATATCTAGTTGAGTCAACTGATTGTAGTATTAAAATGGAATATATATTGTTATTTATGAAATTGTAGAAGATTAAGTCAGTAGACCAAACTTTGGATAGGATGATAACAGATTTATTGAAATTAATTTTCATGAAATTAAATTCAAAAAAGGTATAAGAAATATCAAATATAAATAGGAGTTTATCATAACTATTTGTGATCCAAATAGTGTTATTCATATATGCTACATTTGAGATGTGTGCTTAAGTAATGTTTTATCAATATTGTTAATATTAAAATGACAAGTAGTTTTCATCTCATAATCTAGATCAGTTTGTTGAATACGAATAAGTAATAGATCATAATAGATAACTCACAGAAGTAAAAAAATAATCTCGCCT